GGGAGAGTGCTAGCAAGTGTACGGGAGCACACGAGGGAGAGTAAGGGAGAGAGTAATGGCTCCCAGATCCACTCCTCGCCTCTGCCCCGAGCATGACATGCTATGGAATGAAATACTTCCTTGGTCGGTTTGCGTCAGCTGTCTGAACTGTGTGTCCCCTACACTGCCTGTAGCGAGAGAGTGTTGGGAACACAGCTGCAGTATCAGAAGCTGAGAGACACCTTGATTTTGGTGCAGGCATTTCCCAGTGCCAGCTAAAAAGACACGTTATCAGTACTCTTCCCAGCCTAAATCCAGGAACAGAATTTCCTACCAGCCTGTAAAGAAAGTTAACTCTTTCCTGACTAAACCCAGCACACATACAATGGTTCATGCTAAGCAGACAGACAAGCCAGCAAAATGCATTCTCATGTCCTTCATTTGTGGCCAGTCATATCTGCACATGTAATGCACTGCAGCATAAAACCTGACACTGGGCACTACGGCAGAAAACAGCCCTTGTGTATTCTGTAGCCTACCAAGGCATCTCGTGCCACTTCCTCATGTTAGCAGTCAATAGAATTAATTACTAACATCTGAAAGAATATGTTGTGCACAGAATTATCTTTCTTCTAAGATATACAAAACATTTCACAGTTTTAAAAGGGTTAATATATACACTACATAGTATTAGTGGATTGTATAAAAAAATCAAAATGGAAAATAAACAATGCCACTACTACTAGGATACAGAAATGCATTTGATACAGCAAAGAATGGGATGTTTGAAAACATCGTATTAAAAGGACACAAAAAATTTCTACAGAGTAAAACAAGAAAATTATTAATTTCTGAGACTCATTTTTGTTTAAATAAGGCTAAGATTTTGGCTTAAATAGAAGAAAAGACCATTTATGAGCCAGATAGTACCACCTGACCACTGAGTAAACTTTGAAGTGATAACTGTATCATGCATTGAATAGCCAGGCACAAGCAGAAGGCTTAGTCAAGAGCAGACTTGAAAACTTCCCTGCCTTCATTAACACCACAAAGAACAAATAAAAGTCACTCTTCTCCTTGCTTACAAAAATGAACAACAAAAAAAAAACCCTATCCTTTTCCCTCAGATCTAGAGCTAGTTTTTAGCAAAGAATTGTGGTTTAGTTGTTTTTCTGTGCAAACATGGAAGATTTCTCCAAAGCCCAAAAGTTACACCAAATGGTCTGTTATTATTCCTTAAGTATTAAAATATTTAAAAGGAACAGACATTTAAAAAAAGCTGATAACATTAAGATACATCACTACGAAATCTAGCATTACCTTTACTATGCAATTTCATTCTCTAGCACAGTCTCTTTCCACTAAAAAAAATGCAAATTAATGACTGATAAAGCTATGACTTAGCTCTCTACTTCAGCATTACATAGATGCCTACTAATTTCTACAGATGGTAGAATTGTCTTTACAAATGTATGTGTTGCAAACTCTCCTCAGTAATACCAAATGCTCTAATGCAGGAGAACAGCTACAAACTGAAGGTGTGGAGGTTCAGGCTGGACCTTGGAAGGTTTGTTTTCATTAGAAACATATGGCATTAGAACAGGTTGCCCAGAGCAGCTGTTGAATCTTCCGTCCTTCCTTCTTTTCAGAATTCAGCTGGTCAGGTCATGAATGACTTAATGCACTGACAACAGTCCTCCTTCAAGGTGGTGAGACCTTCAAATGTCCCTCTCAACCACTGACTGCAGAGTTCCTTACGATGAAAGATAAAAGCCTCCGAGTATGACCTGATGTGTTACGGGATTAATAAATAAACAGAATGCAACACCTAATGGCACAGAAAGAACTGACTGCAGGAGACTAGCCATCACTGTTCCACTCAAGGTAACCAAAATACAGTTGTTCAGGAAATTCCATGAGAGTGGTTTAGTGGAACAGAAGGGTTAGTACAAAGGAAGAGTTATTACAGCCCTGTAGTTCAGTCCTCTCATCAACAAGGGGTCTGTAGAAATGGGGATCTTTTTATGAAATCCACAGGATTCTATTAGCCAGACAAGAACCGAAATTATCCAACTACATCAACCCGAGACAGTACTTTAGAACTAAAAGCAGTTTTTACCACTAAAGGGCTTGGTCTTAATAGATATGTGAAGAAACTTCCCCTTCATTTTATTTTAACTAATTCTGAGTTTGATAAAAGCCTGTGTTTCTAACTGATTATTTGAATAGAAATATCCAATACCTAACTTGGGTGTGAACCGAGTTACATTCCTATGTGGCCTGTAACTCACATTCCCAGTACCTCTGCCTATACTTCGCACCTGACTTCTAGTTACTATCATGTTCCCAGTAGTGACAAAACACAACACTATTTTCTTCTGGAAACACAACGTAAGGAATTAATAACAGGGCAAAAGAGAATCATAGAATGGTTTGGGTTGGAAGGGGCCTCAAAGATCATCTAGTTCCAACCCCCCTGCCATGGGCAGGGACACCTTCCACTAGACCAGGTTGCTCAAAGCCTCATCCAGCCTGGCCTTGAAGACATCCAGGGATGGGGCATCCACAGCTTCTCTGGGCAACCTGTTCCAGTGCCTCACCACCCTCTCTGTGAATAACTTCTTCCTGATGTCCAATCTAAATCTCCCCACTTTCAATTTAAACCCATTACCACTTGTCCTGTTACTGCAGACCCTTGTACAAAGTTCCCCCCAGCATCCTTGTAGGCCCCTTCAGGTACTGGAAGGCTGCCATAAGGTCTCCTGGTAGCCTTCTCTTCTCCAAGATGAACAAGCCCAATTCTCTCAGCTTTGAGAAAAAAGGCCTCGACAGAGAACAAGCATAAAATGTGACTTTCAGCTGTGTTAAGTTACAAGTAAACTTTAAAAATACAAACACAATAAAAATACATTTTAGAAATGTGTTCAATGTTTCCATATAGACACAGAAACACATTAAACAGATTCTCAACTGAGAACTTACCTTTTAAAATAAGGTTTCTGACATCCAGAGCAGCCAGGAATGCTGACTCCACTCTCCATTATGCCCCAGTATAAACTATTCTGGCATATTCATCATGGAACCCCAAAGCAGACTGGAGCCAGGATACGGATATATGGGGTAAGGACTGAACTTTGTAGGGGAGGTTTTGTTTTGTTTTTAAATAAACACACACACAACCACAATATTATGCAGTTTTATAAGATTTTCTTTAATCTTTACTTTATATCCCCTGGACATAAAATAAAGAAAATTAGATATCTTATAAAATCATGCAATATTGTTGAAAAGGGGTGGTGGTGGAGGGAGAAAACTTACCTTACCCTTAATAGGCCTGCTCCATTCTGCAGCGGGGTTCTGTGGTATGTGTGACATCACCAGTCTAGCGTTTTCTAGTGATGTCACACAGAGAGGGAGTTGGTGATCTGCAGCTGCTTTGGACATCAGATACCTAAAGAAAAAGAGATTGATAACTTTTTCAATTCAAATATGGATTGACATTGAATGTTTTTATTAACCAATTTACAGGCCAAATACTTGAATTTCAGACAATTACTTCAGTGTCAGTTTTGACTGAGTAAGAATGCATGATGAGATTATGCATTTGTACTATAAAAACTAATCTACAATTGATAGTGTTTTCTTTTTAAAAATGCTTAAGAGTTTTCTTCTACCACATAAGTTCCTGAAAGTCAGTATCTGAAATTTTACCTTCAGCAACATCATTCTGAATATTACATAGATACAAATATCTCTCAACAACTAACTTCTGATCTAGTAAAGTATATTAAAAATTCACTCATGATATCTCAATGAAAGTTATCTTTGGGTACTTACTGCCAAGTAATGAAAAGATGTATCAGCCCTCAAACTTTTTTTTTTAAAGACTCCACCTTGCATTTCTGTGACCTAGATATCTGATCGCACCAAGTAATATCTTAAAATTGTATCCCATACTCCCTATTAAACATTGCAAACAACTGAAGTAAACAAAAAAACCGGCAAAAATATTATTGCTATTGAGAGTGTCTCTCTCATAATTTAGTTCACTAATAAGACATGACTTTTCACTCACACATTCAGCCACATGTCCTAATTTTTTTTAGAAAAAATTACTACATGATCATCAGATTAATCTACCAAATTTATTTTAAAGATATAAACCACAAAAATACAGAAGAAAGTTTATTACCATCATGATCTTACTATCTTTTTGAACATCAGAACTTTGTGAAATTATCTAGCATCAAACTGTGACATTTTACCTATCATTAGAAGAACTTCAAGATATTAACTAATTTATACTTCTGTAACTCATGAAGAAACTGGTTGTATGCAGTATCTTATTACTATTTACAAAGAAAGCTGTCCTTTAAGCTATTATGGATCTTAACTCCCTTTCACACAGCTGAAATTTACATCTTTGTTACTCTGGATATACAAGCATTTAG